AATTACATTTTGCTTTGTGCAAATATAGTACCAGACACTGATATCACACAACATGTAGTTAAGATGTTGACTCCTAAAATAAAGACTCATCACCTATTAACAGTGTTCTTACCTTGAAGGCCACCCATGTTTGTGAACACCCTCCAGAAAGAATGAGAAGGCAGTTGATGCCTTGTTGTTTTCAGCAGCATCAAGGTATAGGATCTATGAAAAAAAGGGGTTCAGGAGAAAGATTTAAATATTTTTTTAATAAAACTTTCATTTTAAATATACATTTTAGAGACCAGTGTTGCAAGCAGTATCATATATATATATATATATATATATATATATATATATAGCCCAGTTTCTCAGACAAGGCTTAAGCCTAGTCCCAGATTAAAATGCATGTTTGACCTCCAGTAATGGTCTAACGGACCCTTTATTAAAGCTACTTAAAAGCTAGTTTAACTAAAGCCTACTGCTGGCTTAATCTAAGCCCTATCTGTGAAACCAGGCATTTAAAGCGGTAGTTCACCCAAAAATTTAAATTTACTCACCATTTACATACCCTCCACTTGTTCCAAACCTATATGAGTTTCTCTCTTCTGCTGAACACCAAAGAAGATATTTTGAATAATGTTGCTAACCAAACAGTTGACAGCAGCCACTGATTTCCATAGTAGCTCATGTAGACCTGTAATTAAAGCTTCTGGGATGTTGACATGATTTGATGCAGTAATTGCCAAATCCAGTTCTTGCTGGAGGTAATCCAAATCTAAAGTCAATGGCTACCATCAACTGTCTGTTTACCTAAAATATCTTCTTTTGCATTCAGCAGAAGAGAGAAACTTATATAGGTTTGGAACAAGTGGAGGGTGAGTAAATTATGGCAGTTTTCATTTTTGTGGGAACTATCCCTTTAAGTTTCAAAACAGAACAAAGTCAGAGCTTGACCAACAGTACCTTTCTTGAGAAACCATCAATCCCACCAAATATCACAATATTGAATCTAAAAAACAAAAATATGAACATAAGACTATGCTGTTTGTTTGCAGTCATTTAGTTTAGGGTATATCTGAAGGCATGTTTAATGTGTGTACATGTGTCATTATGTAAAGAAAAAAGTAAGATTTTCTGTATATGTGTACATGCAAGTGAGTGTAAGAGAGAAAATATTCACGTGATTAGCTTATGGTTGGTGTCCACATGAACTAGGGACAATGGTGCAGGAACAGAGTAACTTCTGCGAGCTATAAAACCAAGCTGAACCATTCTGGCCAAAATTCCAGCTCCATCCACCCGTCGCATAGAGGCCTTCATTCTGTGCCACTGTATCCGGTGCCCTCTAGCCAAAAGTTCACCTTTCATTAGTCTGTAGCCAGCATGTGGCATTCTTATTTTTATTGATCTCACAACATGATCAAGTTCTTCATCTGATATGTTGGAATAGCAGGCTCTGACAGACAGGGTGTGTTCCTTAAATCTTCTGTTTATTGTGCTTCTAGAAACGCCACAGATCCGAGAAAGATGTTCTACAGGGAGAGCAGTATGAAGGAGTTCCTCAAGGTCATCCCTTCTGATATCCAAACGTGGGCGTCCGACGTTTCCCCAAGTGCAGGCTACAATATCAGATGCAGTTGTTGAAGTTTCTTCAGAACTTACATTTACATTAATTATGTTGATTAGCTCCTGTAGACCCATAATTAAAGCTTCTGGGATGTTGACATGATTTGATGCAGTAATTGCCAAATCCAGTTCTTGCTGAGCAGTATCCAGGAGGTAATCCAAATCTAAAGTTTCATTCCGAAAAATCAAGCTAAACTTTGTCAGCATATGCTGTAAAATGTCTTCTTGCACTTGTTCCTGCAGATATAAACAATGCCTAGTAAGCATTAATGTGTAATTAAAATCCAATAAAATCTTAAAAAACAAACAAACAAAAAAAAAACAGCCCCTTTAGGACATTTAAGTCAATATAAGGACTAGCAAACCAGTTTTACCCTATTAAGCTTTAGAATTTATATACCATCATTCAGTGCCTACCTGGAAAAGTGACATTTGTCTTTGGTCCTGACAAGTAGCATTAAAAGAAAAGAAGATTAGGCAAACATATTATTTCTATTTTATATTTATATCTATACACACACTGTATCTTGGTATACATAAAAAGTTTTTAAACAATAAATCAATAAAACTTTATCAAGTTTTTAAACAATAAATGTGTCAAATATAGCCAGACCTGTTGCACACTGTACATGAATAAAACTTTTATCGATGTTATTGATTACTTTATTAACACGAACTTACTTCAAGCTGCCTTGAGGGACAAGCTGAGGAGGAAGATGATGCCGCTCCGTGTCTCTCCTGAGAGCTCATCTTTACAGACTAAGAGACGACCGAAGGTCAAATATTATTTACATACTTAATAATATAAACAAAAGCACGACGTATTGCACACAAATCACCGCGACAGCTTTCCAATATGCGCGCCACTGAGTGACGTCTGTACTTCCAGGTCAGAGAGCAGCTGTCCATCAAAAGCTCTCTAGCCAATCAGAGTAGATCGCTGTTAAGCCCGCCCCCACGAGAGGTTTGTGTCAAAACAGTAAACGAAAATTTGCGAAGCGTAAACGAAATCTGTGGCAACGCATTCAAAATCCACGATTTGCGAAAACGAATCTTTGAAGATCATTAACAAAGAATGAAGCATATTTGAAGAGCATGTTCAATTTGTGGACTGAGTTCATTTTTTCATTTTCATTGTGTTTTTCTTCTTTTGTAATGGCATATTTTTGATAGTTTCTGGAAAAGTTACGTTCAGTTTTATAAAGTTACGTTCATTTTTATTGACACAAATGTAATCCCATACTACTTCGGCTGTGCGTCCTGCGTCATCAACCCGAAACTGAAGTTCAATTCAGTTAGATTTGTGAACCGGCTCAACCGGTTACTTCCTGAAAACCGGCTCAAAAGAACAATTCGTTCAAGAACCGAACATCACTACTCCGTACATTGTAGCAGCAGTTGAATTACTCATTACAAAACGGTATTTGTGCAACATATTTTTTTGCATATCCGATAAGGTAAAATAAATAGCCAAGAGTAAATTAATTAATTAATTTTTTTCATTGTGAGATTTGTTGTTTTCCCTCACACCAGTGATGCACTGATGACTGTATCTATCCGATATTGAATGCAGCGTGTGTAGTTGCCAATCGTTAAATATGCTCGGCTGCGTTTCCCAAAAGCATCGACCATTGGTGGCAATGGTTCTACGATCTACTTATAGCTAAGGATTAAGATGCTTTTGGGAAACGCAGTCCTGGTTACTATTTCTTGCTTGCATTCACATTCAGATTGATTTTTGCTGCCTGTGCGTGGGTGGATTTCTGCAAACATTTTTTCCCTACAAACATACTCAAAAAGGTTTAAAAATAAATCTGCTTCTTTTTGCTATATAAGCAAAATAACACAGGAGTACCCTACTAGCCTATATGAGTATTGTGTTCACAAATGGCAAAAATGAAGATAAAATATTAGCCTAAACCCTTGATGAAGTGGTTAAGTAGGCCTATGTAATAGCTTACTGAAAATTGTGAAACAGTATAATTTTATGTGGTGACAAACGCTGCCTATTCATAATTTGTCCCATACATGCCGCTGCTTTATTCATGCGATTCACGCGAAAATTCAAGTAGCCTTCTGCGTTGCTCCAAGAAAAAAAAAATATTTCCCTAAAGCAGGCCTTTATCCCACTTGTACCAGTATGTCGTCCAGCATTTATTAAATAAATACTGTCACTTAATAAGCAAAATAAAATAATTCTTGCGCTATGATTTAAGTAACTACCGTATTTTAACGTGTTAAACATATATATTTGTTTGGATTTGAGTCTTACCTGAAATGGACGCCATTAGCCTACGTGTTTGTAACCAAATCGAAAGAGAAAGTTAGGTAGAAAAGTTGTAGAAGAGAACACACCTGTATGTGTCGCGTGGATGTGCACTCTATTCTCCGCCCTCACAATTAGACCTACTTCCAAAAGCAGTTTTCTTTTGTATTTCGCCCTCTTCTAATTTAGTGTTTTAAAACTTTCTTCATGTTTAAACGTTCACTCATGTAATCGGTCAAATCTGATCGCACAGATCACGAACTTCTAACTTCTATTTATTTCTGTCATCTGGTTTTGAAACACATGCTTTCCAAACCAGCACGTTATGATATGAGATTAACTGGTTTACTTGCGTTGTTTTACTATTTAAACAGAAACTTTTAATCCATCACACCACAGCTATTTGTGGTGCTAGGAGCAGTTTATGGAGCTAGTATAAATCAAACACATTCAAATGCCCATGTTAGCCTGCTGCACATACTTTGAAGTCTAAATTGACAGTTTATGACTTTTTTGAATAAATTTGCGTTGAAGGCAACTGGAGACGTTAAAAGAGCAGAATTAAATTTACTGATACTGAGTGCAAAAACTAATAAGTCGACATGCGGAAATAGCGGATGTGTAAATGTAATATCATGGTGTGAAAGTGTCACAGTCAGCAGCTGGTATGCCCTTGATAGCCACCAGAGGGCACTATTCTGAACTATTGTTTATTTGCATTGGACTCCAACTCCCCTCACCCTTTGCCTGAACTATTAATGGGGTCATATGATGCAATTTCAAGTTTTCCTTTCTCTTTGGAGTGTTACAAGCTGTTTGTGAATAGATAAGATCGCTAAAGTTGCAAAGACTTAAGTCTCAATTTGTGAAAGCGAAACTACTTTGTTTGGTCCTCCAAAAAAGGACACGACTAGAAATCAGTGGTTAAGTTGTATGTACAACACTGTTTTTCACGGGAACCGAATAGCAATCGCGCTCGGATCCGCGTCAAAACAAACGGTCCGAGATCGCCTGAACGAGGTGGTCTCGGCTCGATTGAAAACGAACTCTGGAACGGTTTGGTTATAGTGAGAAAGCAATCTGATCCAGCGGACCAACAAACCAGGCTATATCACAATTTATGATGGGTAATTACGTAAGTTCCGTGAAAAACATTAGCTTTGTTGTTTTGCTAATACCTCAAAATGAACCTGTGAATGTCTGTGGGTGAGGACGTCTTCGCCATTCAAAATCAAAGCATACTTTATTTTATAATGCCGTCTTATTGCTCTTCCTTGTAGGTGCATTTTAAAAATGTTTTCCCGATCAATCCTGGACTCCTGCTCAAAATAATAAATTATTATAAGAACGCGCCCATCACTACTTGGATCTTTCATAAAGTCTGTGAGTGCTTCGTGACAGAATTCCTCCACCAGTACAACAGATCCAGCAGCTAGGCTGGGATTATCAGCCTTGGACCATGGGCATTCAAATTCTTCCTCCGGCTTCTAAGAAGGAGAGAAAGGCATGACTCCGGATGTTGGCGGCACTGTGTCAACAGGGAATGGGAGTAGGAGGCCTTGCTCAGACTTTTTGGACCTTTGCGGTAGGAATGGAACTTTGTAACTCTGATTTAAAGAGGATCTTTAATGATTGCCTAGATAACCCCTTGCCTCCTTGGGAGATGGAGGAGCTTAAGACTCTCGACTTTTGGGATTTCATTGATTATCTCTGTTACCACAATTTAGTAATATCATGTCGGTCTGAGCCCACTGCAGCGCCCCCGGAGATGCCCGAGCCCGCTCCAGTTGATAGTGAGTCTTCATTATGTCAGTCTCGCAAGCGAAGGTCGAGAAGGAGGAGGGCAGCAAAGTCTACCCCAGTGGTCTCAAGTCTGGTGGTCCTGGAGGACCTGATTCTGGTGGTCTCAAGTCTGGTGGTCCTAGAGGACCTGACTCCGGTGGTCCTGGAGGACCCAACTCTGGTGGTCTCAAGTCTGGTGGTCCTGGAGGACCTGACTCTGGAGGTCTCAAGTCTGGTGGTCCTGGCAGTCCGGGAGCCCTCAGAGTCCACTCATGAACCCGGTCCAGTCCGGGAGCCCTCAGAGTCTGCTCCAGTCTACGAGTTCACTCCTGAGCCTGCACCAGTCTATGAGTCCGCTCCAGACCCCACTCAAGTCTATGAGTTCATTCCAGAGTTCTCTTCAGTCTACGAGTCCACTCAAGTCTACGAGTTCACTCCAGAGCTCGTTCCAGTCCAGGAGTTTGCTCCTGAGCCTGCTCCAGTTCCTCCTGGGGTGGCGGCTTGCTAAGGGGTTCATCTGCCTTGTCAGCTCCGCTAAGGTATTCATCAGCTCTGTCTTTGCTGCCTGCCAAGCTCCTGGCTCTGCCCTGGTCGCCTGCTGGGGTTGCTGTTCGACCGGAGCCTCGCTGGTCTGTCTCTGTGTTTGCTGGTGACCGGTCTGTTTTCACCCTGTGCTTTTTGCTCTTGTTTCATATGGATTACGACTGTGGATTACTTTATAAAATTTTTTGATCTTTCATAGAGACTTTTTCATGACATAAAGAGTTTCTGAGATGTCAGGTAAGAGAGAAAAGCTGTGGGGAAAAAAGAAAAGCTTTGATTAATTGTTGATTTCAACAGTTGATTTTATATAGTTGCTGTATGTTAAACTATGACAATGAATCATGTGTGTAAGTTTGTATCAATGCTCAGTGTGAATGTATTGTTCTGTTCCAGTGATGTGCTGCAGCTCAACTTTGAAGGGAAAATATTTTGTTTGTTAGGGTTGTTTAGGAATTTGAACAGTCTCCAAGAGAATCAACAGCTGCCCAGATGAGAAATGCCCTCACCAGATTTATGATTCACCTGCAACCCTTATGATAGTTACTTACGAACTGAACTTAGTGTCTCCAAGACACCGTCTTTAAATAACCACACTGCGTAAAGAAAAGAACATCGTGTTTAGATGCTGCTAGAATTGTCAGTACTATTAACCTATCAGAACCTGTAACAAAAAACCTGAGAATGTGCTTAAATTATAATGTGCTTTACTGTGTGTGTGAGCCTTTGATGATCCAACGGTAGCTGCACGGATCTCAGGCTGCCTAGCGGACATCTCGGCATGTATGAAAGAACATCACCTACAGCTCAACCTGACAAAGACTGAGCTTCTTGTCTTCCCTGCCACTCTCAACTCAACAGCATGACTTCACTGTCCAGCTAGGTTCTTCTACAATTACCCCATCAACTTCAGTCAGAAATCTTGGTGTAATCTTTGATGACCAGCTGACTTTCAAAGACCACATTGCAAAAACTGCTCGATCTTGCAGGTTTGCATTGCACAACATCAGAAAGATCAGGCCCTTTCTAACGGAGCATGCTGCACAACTTCTTGTCCAGGCCCTTGTCATTTCTAGGCTGGACTACTGCAATTCTCTTCTAGCTGGACATCCATCATGCAAAATCAAACCTTTACAAATGATTCAGAATGCAGCGGCACGACTGGTCTTCAACAAGCCCAAAAGAGCCCATGTTACAAGTGACGTCTCGTGGTGCCATCACAGAGAGGCACAAAATCACTTTCCAGAACATTCTCGTTCACCGTTCCTGGCTGGTGGAATGATCTTCCAACCCCTATCCAGAATGCTGATTCCCTGACAATTTTCAAGCGACAGCTAAAAACTCGACTCTTTCGTCACTATCTGACTTCATCCTAAAAAAGAAAAAAAAATCTTTTTCTCTTTTCTTTAATCTTTCCCCATCTAGCTTGTACTTATTTGAACAATGCTTGAAACTTGGTTTTACGAGCACTTTCTGTGTCTATTTGCCTTTTTAAGATGAATTGCGTGATGTATTCCCAAAATTGTAAGTCACTTTGGATAAAAGCATCTGCTAAATGAATAAATGTAAATGTAAATCTTGGAACTTGCGTATAAATCCATTGTTAAAAGTGTTTTAACCTTTCATCTTTCTGCCTGGTATGAGCATCTAAATTGCAGACTCAAGAACAAACTTTCCAGAATTGTATCCATGGCAAATAAAATAATTGGTAGGCCTCAGAGCCAATTAATACAACTTTATGTAGAAATGACAAAGGCGGCGAAGTTCTACGTTCTTCTAGATTTATGGTCTATATTAGTTTACAAATTCTCAGTCACTAAGATAAAAGGCTGTTAAATAATAGTTCATTGTTGAAAGGTTTTTTGCTGCTATATATAGTTGGTAACATCTGATTTTGTGGTCAGTGTGTCACTTCCTGATGAAAGTCATATAGAGACCTAAAGTCTTCACTTAATGTTTATCAGATGAGTTTGAACTCCAGAAGGGTCATCAAGATAATCAACCCAACATATAATACAATAATTGTTCAAAATGTCCATCAGCATGTGGGTTTTCATTGTGTTTTTCATCGGTATGGAGGGTAAGATAAATCTTTAAAACATTTTTTTTCTGTTTTGTTTTAGTGGTTGTGGTCACTGATCAAGGGACTTGCTGGAAAATGTCAACAGTTTAGTCAATTCATGCGGCATACAAGTCTTGTACTTCTCAAGTTTCTAACATGACAGTGTTTCTGAAAATGTTCTGCGATCTGTACACAATAAGTTACGATAGATACTGAAAAACATGTTCTAAAGCCTCAAAATAGAAATATTAAGACAACCTTATTATGAGGATGACAAATGTAAACTTGATTTGTCCTTTTCAGTTTTATATATAGAAATTTTGTCACTAATTTATAGGTCATTCTGCACAGCAGCATAAAGAACATTTACAAATATTATAAATGCCTAACTTATTTGGAAAGGGGACCACTTCCTGCCACATTATTTTATGTTTCCTTTGTACCTTTTTGTATACCATGCTTTAAACTTTACATCAGCATTATTATAGTTTTTTTAATTTAGTTTTATTTACATTTTATTTTTAATATGACATTTTGGTTGTGTTTTTTGTTCTGTTAATGTCCTTTTTTTCAGTGTTTTCTAGTGTCCTCTGTTTTTGCCTTTCAGTATATTTAGTTTGTATATAGTTTTAGAATTTTAAAGTTTAAAGAATGGATATTATGTAAATATAAGTTATAAATTCATTAAATTTCTTTATAAATTCATTACATCTCAGAACCATAATTATCGTTAACTAGTGACATTTTGTCATGTGTAATTAAGGCTGTGCATCAAAAAAATAATTTGTGTTAATTTATTTTATTATATAGTTTTGAAACCATAAAAATAATTAAATTCCAAGTTTGTTGCAAATATGGTTCTAAACAAGGACTGGAACTGCTGGATCTCTGATGTTAATTGTATCTGAGTTCATAGGGCGTGTAAAAACTTGGTGGCATGCCTGATTAAAACAAACAAAGGGACAAACACCAACCCTTTGCTCTCCTTTATTTCATTTAGTTCTGGATGCTTGAAGTCTTGAGTAGTTCACATGACATGAAGTTGAAGGATGGAACAGACTAATTCACAGATCCACTCATACTAACAATTAATCAAATATATAAACAATATATGTTCTCTCAATTCAAAATAATTAAATATCCAATCCAAATACATAAAACCATACAAATGACAAATCAGACTAACTTAAAGGGATAGTTCACCCAAAAATGAAAATGTGATGTTTATCTGACCTACATCTTGGATGCCCTGGGGGTAAGCAGATAAACATCACATTTTCATTTTTGGGTGAACTATCCCTTTAACACATCATAAGGGAAGGATTCAAAGGACATGGTTTGGTGTTCATTTACACACTCCACACCTCATCACTGCAAAGGAAACAGAGGAAGGAAGGAAGTGAGGCCAGGGTGGTCTACGGGTAAGGTAGTGTGCTAGATTTGGTAGTTTAGTTTGTTTGTGGGAGATGTAGAGTACAAAGAAAAATAAGAGAAAATTCCATGTTTATTGAGGTGGGCTCCAGGAAACTTTCTCAAATTCAAGTTGAAAATGAATTTCTTCAAAATCTCAATTAAAGCTCTCTGAACAAATTACTTTTAGCTACATTTTTAGCTTTTATTTAATTTAATCTTTCCTTTTTTAACAATTGCTCGGACATATTTCTCGATATTTAGCGCCTCACTCCTCACACAGTTCTCCTTAGCAAGTTCCATCTTGGCACAGCAGTTAATTTCATATTCAAAATCCACTAAAACTTCCAAAACACTTCATATGTGTCTCAAATTAACCCAATACACTAGCAAAAACTTCTCAGGATTTCTGGGAGACGTGTGTGTCGCGTTCTATAACGTTCCGCCTGGAAACAAAGATGCCGTGACGCCAAACCCCCTCACGAAAGAAGAAAGCCGTCGTGTTTACAACTGTGACGACGAGCACTTATCAGTATCAACTAAACGCTGGAGTTTCAAAAGTATGTGAAATGTTTAAAGTTCGCGGCACAGAATCTTTAAAATACGTCTGAGAGTTTTACACACCGGTCTGTTATTGTGGCGACATTTCCACGCCCCGAAACGTGACGCTGAAACGAAACGAACTGTGATTGGTTGTTTGACATGGCCTCATGGGCGGGCCTTGGCCAATGAAAGCTGCCATGGATTCCAGACCTTCAGCCATCAACAAACTTAACCACACCTAAAAACTTTCAAAAAAAAATCTTCACACAATTTTTGTCTCTACAAAACAAGAATGACAGCTCTCTACTGTTTAGAATTCACTGCAGTATGTTACATAGTCCAAGTTTACATTACAGTACAAAATTATTCCTTAGTTTTCCATATTGTTGCAACTTGCATAGATTGTAATAAAATTGAGAGACTATCATGTGTAGGTGTTACGGGACTGACGAGACATGCAGATCCATGTGCAAGCTTTATTTAAAGCAGAGAGGTCAGAAACACAGGCAGGGTCGAACAATGGCAAACAGGTATATGGCGGACAAGACACAAGAATAATCCTAGGGCTAGCGAAGGTCAACGAACGGCGAACAGAATCCAGTAATGAATGATGGGATATGTAGTCCGGGGTGATATGCAACAGTGTAGTGCGAGAGTCAATGAAGTGGAAAGGGTGACCTCTGATGGCTAGCAGACGGAAGTTCATGGACCGGATACGTAACAGTAGGTGTTCCACTACATCTTATAATTTTGATATAATTTAACTCTTACATTTGAAATATTTTTCAATATTAGAAATATACCAAATTTCTGTCTTATTCAGTTTTATATTGTGTTAGGTTTTGATCTTAAGTTTAAGAGTTGTGAAAAGAGCATGAGAAAGTGCAAACTGGCCTGTAGGTTCATCAAGTTTTGGCTTTGAGTGAGAAAACAATTCATGTAATTTGACAGATGTAGTCGCTGAATGTATTTTGTGTCAAAGCAATGATGAATGATCCAGAGTTTAGCACAGATAGACTGATGCTGTGCTCACTGTGTAGAAAAAGTGGCCTAAATATTGAGAAAGGGGTCTGCCAGCGATTGTTATAAAAATGCATAAAATGTCTCTACATACAGAATGCATGACTGTACAGTCATTTTTATACACCATGTAAAATTATATTTAATTATGCAACAATAAAGTTTCAAAAATCATTGTCATTACCTCACTATATTGTATGTTTAACTAGAAAGAAATCTAGAAAAATGTTAAAAATCAATTGTTATTATTCCTCAGTGTTCATCTGTCATTGTAAATCAATTAACAAATGTCAGTTTAACAGGTATTTTATGCATACAGGAAAAAAAAATACTACAGAAATAGTACAAGTAATATGGTAGTATGCTATTCTGCACATGGGTAGTTGAGATCTGTATATTTTCTAGCACTAAATGTCACTCATATCTAACCAGTTTTAATATTCTTTCAGATCTTGTGAATGGCGAGTGGGATGAGTTAAAGACTGTGATGGAGGGAGATGTTCTCACTCTACAAACAAGAGACACTGAGAGTCTCAGTGAAGTAACATGGCTGTTTAAACGAGGTGATCAAACTGTTCGTATCGCACAGATGTATCAGGGTTATGAACCCTTTTATGAAGAAACACTAACCGGCAGAGTGAAAATGAACCCAAAGACTGGAGCTCTGACCATCTGGAACATCAGCAGCAGCGAATCTGGACTTTATCAAGTTTCTCTCCACAGTGGATCTGTCTCAGAGAAAAGGTTCAGAGTGGATGTTTACAGTAAGTTTTAGCTTCATAAGAAACAGAAAAAAACTATCAGCAATATTCAGGAAAATGAGGGAATGTCTGTTTGGCAATATTGTCTCTTCAATTTAATTGGACAGCAATACATTCATTCATGTCTGGAAAAATGTTTTCAGCATCATTAGTACTTTTTGTCATGAGGGCCTGGGCATGAAGTGTGCCAAGTTTCATGTGAGTCAAGCCAACAGCCTAGAAGGAGTTTGAAAAGCTGATTTAAAAAATAAAAAGTTCAAAACAGCTGGAAAATGTCCATGAGAGAAATGAAAAGTGGAGACATATTGTAGAGCATGAAGCAAGGATTCTACCACCTTCAGGTCTTGAACCCCTAAATATTGTCCCAGTTTTTTAATTCATAGATAAGTGAGATTTTAATGATATTTTGATCACTGAACTTGGAAATGTCCCTGTTTCCATTTCATAAAACTGGTCACCTTACTCTAAAGTCACAAAAAAAAAAAAAATACAGTTCATTTAATACATTCAAGACAACAGCGAAAACAAAGTAGATTTGTATACAGCATATCTATGCAATAATTAGTTCAGAAGCCACTATTAGATCTGAGTCAGTTATCATTTCATTGTTCATTATATTGTATCAGCAGTCACTGGCAAACATTCATACATCGTTCATCTTGCATTTTTGTTTTTCCTGCAAATTCCACCTCAAAGTGTCTTCTTTTCTTAAAGGGCCTGTTTCTGTGCCTGTCATCAGGTCTCTTGTTAGTGTAAACCAAACTCAAGGTGAGTCAACAGATTCCCTATCAAACCCAAATACAATATATTAGACTACCTCCCTGTCTAATGAAAAATGTAAAAACATTATTTACAAAAGAAATGGCACCCACGCCCTACAGCTTCCACATATGGACAAAAAAATATGACAGAAAACAAAAAGGTTTTCTCAAAATTAACCTCACAAAACAAATCTCTTTCCAGGTACTTTAAAGCAGCCACAGTCAATAGAGGAGTTCTGCTCTGTGTTGTGTTCTGTGAAAAATGATCGAGGCATGTTCATCTCGTGGTATAAAGGAGGAGAAATGCTGAAACAGACCAGCAATCCTGATCTCAGCATCAACCTCAGTTTAGCATTAGAGCTTCATTATAATGATCCAGAGACCTACAGCTGCACGGCTGTGAATCCAGTGAACAACAAAACTGTCCATCTTCACATGAATGAGATCTGTTTGGGACGGGAAGGTACGAGAACTCAAACTACTTTTACCACAGAACTCTCTTCCTGCCACAATGACCAAAGCCACTGAATGACAGAACTGTTTACGAATAACTTTATATCTATATGATTTCTCTTCTCTTTCAGATTGTCTGGATCACTGTGGCGTCACTGAGGCTCTGATTCGTCTGGTTCTGTCTGGTCTGCTGGGAATCACCACTGTTGTATTTCTGGTTGAGCATCTGAGGTTCTGCTCATCTCAGAGAAGAGCTGCTTTTGCTTGATGATGATGGTACTTTCATTAAACGTCACATTGGCCAAAAACATGATGGTGATGGAAGGCTACGAGAACTGTTGGCAATGAGGCTGAAAGTATAAACTGAGGGCACCATTTGGGACAGGGCTATAAAGTATTAGCATTTTGACACTGAAGTTCATGTTCAGGGAGAAAGATCTGAAAACAGATCACCTATTACTGACACCCTTAAAAATATATATATATATAAAAAAGGGATGTTTGTCCCCTTCTAAATATGAAATATGGAAACTGCCTATATTTATCCACTCATTACAGAGCAGAACACAATGCTGACATTTTCTATGCCTGCTTCAAAAATCAAAGAAATTTCCTATTGAGTGGACACTGACACAAAAAAAACAACTTTCAGGTGTCGATTTGTCTTCTCTAAAACCAAAAATCGGTTAATAAAACTGTATTTTCTCTGGTATACTAAAAGTATTTTATCAGCCTGAGAGTTTGACAGAGGAAGCGAAGTACGAGCAGAAAGCTGAAGACTAAGTCATGATGACATGACGAATAATCTTAAGTGACTTTAGTTGACTTCGTCTGACCAGCACAAATACAGCAAGTGTTGTTATCATCGAAACTGCTTCATATATTCCCACTTATCTCACATTTAAGACATTCTACAAACCCAACAATCATAAGATCAAACAACAATAGCAAGCATTGCAAGAGCAAGGAAAATTATTTTTTAGAATGTAATAAAAACGAATACAAAGATTGTTATTATTATTTATTATTATTATTATAAATATGCATCAAACTTAATAACTAAACTTCATTCAAATAATAACAATTATATATTTATATTTATATTCATAACATTATTATTATTATTATTATTATTATTATAAGGATACTACATCAAGCTTTCATATAAATAATAATTATTTACATATATAACAACATCTTTATTATCATTATTATCATCATCATTATTATTATTATTATTATTATTATTGATTAATTTAAGTGCATCTGGATGGGTGCTGTCAAGGTCTTCTGGTTTCTTCTCTACCAAGCAGTGTTCCTCAGAGGATGCGTCTGTGTCGCGTTCATCTGCTGATTATAAGAAAAAGAGAGTTTTGCACTATTAGTACTTATGTCAGTAAAGTGACAAATTTGTACAGGGCTATTAAAGTTAGGTTATTATTAACTACATGGAAATAAACAAACAATATATTTATTTCAATGGCCACCTTTTTTATAATCTTTTACAATTATATGTAATATCGGTCTTGCTCAACAAATATTGATAATCAATTTGAGCATAATTCAGAAAAAAAAAAATTACAGTGATCGACAACTTTACCAAAAATACATAAAAATGCAATTCATACAGAATGCATCTCTGTGAAGATTATTTTTGAATTACAATTAATTTTGACACTTTTTAAAAGGGCTAGAAAAACAGTGTAATTATCCCACAATTCTAATAAAGAAAATGTCGACATTGCAAATCTCAAAAGGCAAATCTGTCAAAAACCTTAATGTTTTAATATTGTCTTTTAAAAACACTCAAATAATGAAACTGTTTTGGATTAAATATTTGAAAAACTAAAGCACCGACCCTTATGACTGTCTGTCAGTGTCAGAAAGTTTCCTAAAAATATCTGATACATTTAAGGTCTAGTTTGCCACATGTTGTAAATTGTTAAATCCCAATTAAAATAATGTTTTTTGATCATGATACAAAACCCAAGGACATCAAGTCTAGTGGACTGACCTCCAGTGATGCTTGATTGACTGTCCGCCACTTCTGAATCCACTGTGCAGTCAAGGAAATCAAGTTTCTTCCAGTTTTTCTGTAGAGGGATGAGATTTAAATCACACTAAACTGCACTGTAAAAATATATGATCACTGCTGTTAATAAGTGTTATAAAAACAGACCTGTTGCTACATTTTTGTGTGATAATACTTACCTTTTTACATAAGTATACGCTGACAACAGTGACCACTATGATTAACACTGCGAAGACCCCTATGATGACAACTGTGTTGAAATCTTGTGGTGGGCTGACTTTGATGGACGGGTCACCAGAAGACTCTAAAATTATTTTTGATGAGAGAAAAAAAAAAAAAAAAGATTTCAAAGTAAGTTTTGTTGTTGCTTTTTTTTTTTTATTATGTCACATTCACCCATCATGCCCAAATAAAGTTATAATATCAATAAATTTTCACAGCACTCAAGATTACTAACCGGTGAATACAACGTTGAACGTTTCCTTGATCGTGTAGTTCCCGATCACTTCGACAATGTGTGCTCCTGCGTCAGCGGCACTGGCATCAAGAATGATTACAGAAGCATTCTCTGATCCAAGCTGGAGTGAGAATCTGTCGTTGTCGATGGCGGGGCACCCCATCTTCTTCTCTTTGATAGAACAGTAGCGGAAGATGGGAACTTGTGTGCCGTTTTCGTAACGACTCCGCAGCGTCACTCGGTTGACATCCCCCATTTCAGGCGTTTTGACTGGTAGGGTGGCGTTTTCTCCCCTTTTTACAACCACTGTCATGTCGCTCACGGCACCTGATAAAATACATATTTTATTGCTTAGTGACGTATTTACACCTTTAAAAAAAAAAAAAAAAAAAAACACGTCTCACTAGATTTTGCACTCGCGAAATTTCTACGGACGTAATAAATTGTAACGCTCTCTGGCGTCTTTTTAAAGAACAGTTTATAACAGATGATAAATATATCCTAAATGTAAAAATATGTTATCTACTTCACCTTACTGCAACACTCCAATCGTGCATATTTAAAGTTTGCGCTTTTAATTCAGCACGCCGAACTTCTTCTTTATTTTTAACCCGCCGAACTTCTATTAGTCACACCGTCTTTAGTGCGTGATACCAATTCACAGGGCAGTGCTGAAATTTAGAACACACGATATTATTTTCCAAGCTTGCGTTTCCGGTTTCCGGCATTCGCATGCGTTGTGTGACCGGAACTTCGCAGAGATCAACACGGAGAGCTAAACGCTAGAATGCTTTACTTACCGGTGAGGGCAAGACAGGTTATGAGCGTGAAGAAGCGGCGTATTTTCATGAGTTTTGCTCGGTTCGTCTCTTGATGTAGTAGTAAAAATCTTTTATTAGTGGCTACGTGCGATTCTATTGTCACTGAAGCTCCAAACTGTGGCAAAACAGACAGGTGTATTAGTAGGCTAGCAGCTAGCTAAAACGGAGCGGGGCGAGTAACAAAACCGCTTTAAGTCAAACATCGGATACGACATTTTATACCGTATGTGTACTTTCATAAGGCCTAACTATAGTTTCAGCGTCTCGCTGAAGTATGCCTAAACTGTAGTTTACCTTTTCATAAGTTATGCACGTTTTGTGTTGTCGTCCATGACATTCCCTTTGTGTAACATTAGGCTACAGCAGCGCAACCTTCAACTATTGTCTACACTGATTTCAGTTGGATTGATGTTATACACACGTTACCCTTCAAAAGGTAATATTTCTACTAAAAGATAAGATCAAGATACTTTGTTCAATAAGGCATTTATCAAAATAGTACCGCGAGAGCAGATGGCTCCTTAAGTTTTCGAATCGCTCTCGCGATACTTTGTCAAACGCCGGACTGTCTGCGCAGCGCCGCTTTAAGTCGCACACCGTCAGTCTTCAGTGTCACCTGATCCTTCAGAAATCATTCTAATATGATTTGCTGCTCAGAAAACATTTTTATTGTTATCATTATGACAGCTGAAAATAGTTGCGCTGCTTAATGAAAGTGGAAACCGTGTTAGAAATGATTCATCATGATTAGTTTTCATGATTCACAGGAAGCTTGAAGAACAGTATTTATTTGAAATAGAAATCTTTTGACCAATTTAATTAATTATTGTGGAGTAAAAGTATTAGCTAATTTCTTTGCAAAGTTAAATTTAATTTAAAAAAAAATGTGATTTCAGACTTTGAATGATATTTTAATGGAATGCAATTCCATTAGAGACTGCTAGATAACTGTTCTTGGCAAGTCCAAGGCCCATCTTTTTCTACAAATATAAAAAAAATGGCATTACCGTCTCACACAATATCATATGTTCACTTAATTTCACATTATACCAATATTCAGTAATCAAAGACAAATCAAGGCCATAGTCCCATCTTTATTCCAGGACATGTGAGAGAGTAAGATGGGGAAGATAGCATGTGCAGGATGATGATGCATCAGCTGCAACTGAGCTTTATAGAACATAGATTTTACATTGTTTCATAACAGCTAAATTTAACTTTTACAGAATGTATGAATACTGATA